CCCTGTCTGTTTAGCTTGACGTCTGATATATATATAGCTACGCCCTGATGTGTGTGTGTGTGTGGGGGGGTGCGTCGACGTGGTCCGGACATAGAAGGGGGTGCGCGGCTAAATAAGTTTGGGAACCACTGATCTAGAGGATGACGGGAAACACCTGGCTCTCACATGATCTAAGATCTGATTGGTTCATATTCTGATCCAAACATCCGGTGGTAGAACATGAAATGTTAGTTGGTCACATGTATTCTGTAAATCACGTTATGTTGATGACAACAATATAGGCCATAAAGAGAAGTGTGTTTTGTTTTCTTTTGTCACGTTTCCTTACCACACTGAAGCTACAGCTGATAACCTTTACTTATTATTACAGTCATGTTTTCATATAGAATATATGATATCCACAAGCACGTGAGGATGTGTTTCAGCTGCTAACAGGCACCAGAATTAAAATTGAAAATTGAACAAGTGTGAATGCTAACGCGATATCTTCAGCCATCGTCACCCCCGAGCTACACATGCAGGGAAATCCAAGAGATTCAACTGGCAGAAACAACTGGTTCACACCATTCTCTCACACACACACACACACACACACACACACACACACACACACGCCTTTTAGAATCTTATGCAACCATCAATTTGCTAAACTTATATAATTGTAAAAACAATCCTACATTTTAAAGAGCAAGTCACCCATGGCCACATTCTTATTCAACTCCCACTTCCTGTTTGAAAAATGCAACAAATGCTGTTGTCTAGCAGACCGAGAGGGTGGAGCCACAAACAAATACACACACTCACAACATTGTGACATCAAAATGTACCATCTAACATCACTGTGTACCTCTTAGCCAATAGCTATGACAGATTTAAATTCAAATGCAGTGCAGAGTTTTTATCTGACAACCGCACAACACTGACAGTTTTAGGCAGAAAATTAAAATCTTATCTAAAATGCACTAAAGTGCAAAACTATTGCCTACGCATTTCTGTAGCACAATTAGACACACATTTATATAGTTTATCAGAAAAAAAAAGTTGATTTGGGAGCAACTTGCTCTTTAAATGAGTTAATCACAGTATAATCTAATTTAAAGGGCAATAATCAATAACTTGTGTGTGACATCTATGACAAAATACATTAACATAATTATTACTATAATTATTACTACTTTACTGATAACCCCTGAACAAGGAATCATAATATAAAAATGAAAATATCTAATCAAACACCAAGAATGAAGTTTTAAATCATGCCAAATTTCAAACTATTGTTTAAAAATATCAAAAGTTATTAAATGTCAAGTTTTATTAGTACTTACTTGCACTTATGAAAGTGCACATACACCTGCTGTATTCTATATAGAGTGCTTAGACTAATTCAAATAGTCGACAACACATGTACTAAAAAACATTTATTTATAACTGCATTGTAGGAAATATTCAGTCACAACATATTCTTTAATTTAGTCTTAAACAATGCTACTTAAATAGTTTAAACACCCCCTTGTTATCAGTCAAACTTTTGAATAGTCTATGGTATTTACATTATTTTACTTAATCTCAGTTTAGCTTTAAGTACTGTAACTTTTAATAACGTTTTACTTATTTCTACGTTAAACTTCGCATGACTAAAAATAAACTCACAATATTACATTATTATTTTTTCCCTGTGTCCTGTCTGGCTGTGAAGCAAACAGAATTGATGTCTGAATGTTGGTGAAAAGCCTTACAGATTTACTCTCAGGTGGAGCATCAAAGCTAATGTCACGTCTGATACTTTAAACTTTATTGTTTTTGAATACTTTGTAACTCCGACCAGACAACGGAATCAGAGGTGAAAGATAAAGACAAAGACAAAAGGTGGGGGGAGATAGGGGGGAGGGGTCCAACAAAAATAAACAATAATGAACAAGAGTCTGCTTCTAGGCCTGCAGAAAGAGAAAGAAGAGAAAAAATGGGACACACAACACAACAGGAGCAAGCCATCACTGTGTCAACTTGAAGAAATACAATCACACGATAATAATAAATCATAGTGCATTTAGTGGCAACAACAGCCTTAAGACATGTGTTGAACGTGCCCAAGTCCATACTTATGAGAGCACCATGTGAGCACCTGTGTGTGTACAAGCGCTTGTTTATGTAAGGTTTCTCTATAAGAGCGTCTAATAGAGTGTGGGGGGCCACAGATCTGCCCCAAAGATGTGTAGGAGACTAAGAGAGCTCCAAGTCCCAGAGATCCAGCCGCTGCCCCAGAACACAAAACCGTCAGACAGCAGCTGGTACTGGTCGCTCGTGTACGTCAAAGCTATCTTTCATAAAACGATAATCAATAAAACGATTTATATAAAGTGGATCCAGAAGTTGTAGCCCGTCTCTGCCTACAATATTTTGATATTTTTCACTCTGTTGGTGGTTTTACTGAGCAGGTGCCACTTTTGTCATACGTTACTTTTTAAAACATGTTTAGACTGTTCAGAATACAAATCCAGGCTCTGTCACGTTTGATTGTTGTAATAAAACTTTGTAGGTGGGGAAGGTCAGAAAAGGATCCGATCATTTTGTTTTTCCCTTATTTACAGTGACAGAGATAACGGCGCAGTGTGCCTGCCTCTGGTGTTAATCAAGTTTAATTTTATCTATTTTCACAAGAAAACAGAACAGTTAAAAGCAGGGCTTGTGTTGACCGGACAGTTCCCGTATTTGGCCGTTTATTTTGACGGAGAAAGAAAGAATTACTCCGACGCACGCAGACAAACTGACACTTTATTCGTTTAGCAAATCGCAGATGTTGCTAAATCACTCAAGAAAAGATTCCCTTCTGAACATCTGAGCTGGACATCGCTCAGTGCAGCTCACTGTCAGCATGTACATAAGGTGCACAGCAAGCTGAAGATGTGGAGAGGGGCTTGGAGAATGTTGCAGAACCATGCAGGAAGATTCCTTCCACTGAAGCGAGAGTTTTCCAAACCCGGTCTCTCAGGGAGACTTGTCACTTAGAAAATGTTCCCTGATGATGAAACTTTGGCTGAATTGTGCTTGTTCCCAGTGGCAGTTCTACATGGAATTACTCCCCGGGCGAGTCCCCCTTTGAGCCCCCCCCCCACCACCACCACCACCACACTACCCCACCTGCACAAACACATGCATGTTTTCTGCAAACAGGCATGTTTTATTAGAACGACTATTGAACATTCATTTTTCTAAGTTGCACATATTTACATTAATTACTATGAAGTTGTCAGAATGTAAAGCAATATACATTATATACTGTATCAAAATATATAGAATCAAAAATACAAAAACAACTAAACTAACTAAATATTAACAATATATGAACATAATATATAATAAATATTCTAAATAGTAGGGCTGCACAATGTATCGAAAAATTATCGTCATCGCAATAACAGGACGTGCGATAGGCCTACCGCAAAGGACGTCAAAAACGGCGATAAATGTTTGGTTCAAACATTTCCATCCGTGTCATACATCAACTTTTTGTAAACCAGCTCTGTTTTTTAAGCGGAAGTATTATTTGACCAATCAAATGTAGCCCTTCTGATATGCAGCCAATCAGACAGGTCCATTCACGTAATACGCCCGCCCCCTACATAGACCCTTACCCCAAAATTCCACTATCTCTGCTCTGCTCCGCCCCCCGCTTTCCGCTGACGCTCGCTTCCCTTGTTCGTCATGCTGGCTCAGATTAACAAACTCACTTTGTGCTGAGGTTTCTGGAATCAGCGCTGCTTTCAAACGTGAACGTGAGTCCGCTCGGTGTCGTTAAGCAGCTGATAATAACCGGGTTGACTCCGACACGTGCCTGTGAACCAACCCACCGTTAGCCCCAGGCTCCGGTTAGCTTCCAGCTAAAAGGCTACAGCACTCTCCTCCCAGTCCCACCCTGCTAAAGAGGGCCTGGAAAAGTTCCCCCACACATCAAAGTGATTTTTCATTTATGAGCTTTTATAACCTTGTTAATCAGGATAGTTGATTTGCTGCTGCACATAAACTGTCAGTCAGAAGCTCTGCTAGCCGCTTATCTTAGAGGAGCTAGTTCAATTTGTTAGCTTGTTATCAGAATCATAGTTGCAGTTTCATCATCTGAGCTGCTTTTTGAGATCTAGGTAAACTTGTTCAATTTGGGGTTAAAAACAAAGTTTTCAAATATTTTCCATGTAGTTTTTCGCCAGTTCCTCTTCTGAAAGGTAGACAATTGTTTTTCTCTTTCCCTCAGAAAATCTTAATATTCTCCTAGTTTGGCCCAGCACAGTTCACTTCCCAATTACAGTAACAGCCTTATATCATAACCACATAAGTGGAGAAAATGCTCAGTAGCTATGAGAGAATTTGCTGTTGCATTTAAGTGATGTTGGCTATTATTTAACAGTTAAACTTATTTTCTGTTTTTTTTTTTTTTTTAATTATTCAAAAACCCTGGTAAGGATGTGTTTCTGTATTTGGAGCTTCAGAAAAAGTTTTATGGTGGAGGAGATGTTTTAAAGTCACTGAGAAACTGCATGCATGCAGTTTGTTGTTTTGCTGATAATACAGTAGCAGGTGCAGCTGCATATTTTTTCAATAAAAATGGTATGCTGTAATGGAATTCATGCATTAGTTTTTGTTTGCTTTGAACCCAGAGCAAACGTCACACGCCAGGCGACATCAACACTGCATACTTTAGTATTTGTTCATTTAGCGTGAGTAATATCGGTATCGCAAAATTAAGCACTGTTATCGAATATCGCAGGTTTTCCTAATATCGTGCAGTCCTACTAAATAGCAAAAATATTTCACACATAACAAACTAAAGATAATCACTACAGCATTGCACTTAGAACAGAAAACACAAACTAAAATTAAAACCTAACCTTCATGCAAAGTCATCAATAATGTCATCATATGAAATCTGCTCCCCTACTGAGTGATTGATACTAATCAGAGCCAGGTTAGTCAGCCGCCCCTGAAACATAGGTGACCTCAGGTATGACTTGATCAAGTTTTGAAAAGCCCCTCTCAGCTTGAGCCACAGTGACTGGCAGAGCAGTCCAAAAGTTGGGTTAGATCTCCAATAGATCCTTATCATGATCCATAATATTTTAGAATGACCTCTGAAATTGTAATTTAAACTGGCATAAAAATATTTTGCGATACCGATATGACTTCTCTGAGCTCTGCAGCCATTACACTTTTCACCTCGCGCACCCCCTAGCGGCAGCTCGCGCACGCACCACACTTTGGGAATCCCTGATCTACACGACTGAAGGAAGAAATGACGTAGCAGCTGACCGCCATCTTAGATGGGTTCCCACTCACATCGTTGAAGTTAAAAAACCCACCCAAAATGACGGAAACAGAGCCATGTTTAATGGGAAGCCATTCAACACATTGCATTCGTTAGACGGACAAGTTCCCTTGCATTTGAAGACTGAAACACCCACTCAAAATGGCGGATGGGCCATTGCTTCTCAAACGCACATGTAGCATTTACGTCTTTATTGCTATGCAGAAAAATGTTCAAGTATTGACTATTAAATAAAACGTGACAAAAATGACCCACAAAACGAATATGTCTACGACTTTGTAACATACTTCAGCAATCAATATTGAAACCGTTACATTCTTCTGCGTCAGTGCGGAGACACACGGAGCACTTACGCACTCAATCGACATAAATCACAACCGCTCAACAGGAAAAGGAGCAAGCACACCTTCCGTTATTTCACAATAAATCGATAACAAAAAGCGTTATTTTTTTGTTTCATATGCACAGGTTTAACAACTTTTAACAACTATCAATGGCGGTTGAACTTTAAATGCACAAAAATAAGCCATAAACACAGTTTCCACTATCAAAGTAGTCACACTTTGTGGATCCAAACACTGCTGATCTCTCAACAAAAAAGATAGGCAGCTTAGCGCACTGTGCAAACACTTTCACTCTCTGTGTAACTGAATCCACACCATCCAACCAGTTAGCTTTACTCGGTTCCAAATTAAATCACAGGAATAATAAAACTGCTTGCTTAAAGATCTGCACAAGAAATTATTTATCAAAGCATTCCTTACTCACCATGACAAGAAGTTATTTATCAAAGCATTCATTACTCACCATGACAAGAAGTTATTTATCAAAGCATTCATTACTCACCATGACAAGAAGTGAACAAGATGAAAACAACTAAAAATGCTTAAAAATAAACAAACATACTAAAACAAATGAACAAGAAACGCAACAGGTAAAGATCCAAACAAACGTACGTGTGCACTCAGAGAAGTCTTACTAAAAAAGACGTTAGATGCAGTTCAAATGACACATATATAGCCAAACTGTGAGCCAATCGGCGGGATGGAAAACATCACGTGGAAAAAAACTCCCAATTAGATTGAAGTTTATTCAAAACACAATGTACTATCGTCCAATCAGTAAGCCAGACTCGGAAATTTCAAAATAAACCAATCAGTTTCTTGAACGACAGACCATGTTACATCCATGTATGGTTTCGGTTTTACATGAGACCGCCCCCTCACGAAGCCGAAGAAACGTGGACTCAGCTTTGATGATGATGGGCTATAGAGCTACCGCCAAAGGCTTTCGTTAGTGCTCGGTAGAACTCGGAGATTCTCGACTCCAGCACGTTTTTGGCCTTCACTCGTCACGGTCATCACGCAGACGTAACAAACATGGACGCCAGTGCGCCTACTACCAGCAGCAGCATGGATACCGGATCTCAGCAGCCAATGAATTCAGTTCGGTCTCTTCTCCAATATCCGTTCAAGAGGAAAACTATGGTGGAAAAACTTAATATCAAAGAGCTTGGACCAGATCAGCCCGACGTAAAGATAAGCCAGCAGGAGGAGGAGAGAGGTAAACTGTACACACGAGGCTTCGGGAAGGCTTGGCTAGCTGGATGCAATCACGCTAATGCGTTATTTTGCTTTCCAAACGACTGTGACAGATGAGGCATGGATTGAGTCAGGAGTTACGGACATGAAACATTTTTCTGAGAAGGTGAAGAAACATGAGTTATCCCGGTCACACATGGACAACACGGTGAAGCTAGCTATGCTAGGCAGAGCTAACATAGCCATGCAGCTAAAGACGAGGGACGCAGGCTTGCAGTGAATAAACACAATGAAGAAGTGGATCAGAACGGCACATTTTGTCCAAGAGAGAGTTGTCAACACAGTGTATGAGCACAAGGATGACCTCCTCAGATGTTTCCAGATGATCAGAGACTCGGATGACTTTGATCCAGTCACTGAGAGAGAGGCAGGAGGCTTTGTGACAATGCTGGAAGAAGATTTCGGCTTTCTGCTGGCACTGTGTCACAAGATCATGCCACATGTGGACATGCTGTTCAACCAGCTGCAGAAGAGGAACATTGACTCTGTCTCCATCACAGAGGTCATCCAGAGCTTCACCAACAGTATGCAAAAGATCAGGTACATACTTGTTTATTTAATATTATTCTGATTAAATTCTCCAGTTTGTTAGTTTCACAAACAGTAATGTGGATGTGGACCATATATGGTCATGTTATTTTATGTGCAATTTAATGCAGTATTTTTCAACCTTGGTCCGCAAGGCAGTGTGCCAATAGTCAGACATACGTGGATTAATCCCTTTGTCCAATAATGTAAGACAGGAAATAAAAGAGCTGTGCTTAATTCAAGAAATAGTGAAGTTGTGCACAAAACTCAAAAAAACACAAGTTTGTTTAAAAGAAAAAATAGCACAGCCCCAACAAAAATATTTTTCACCAGCCGCCACTGCTGGCAAGTGACACCTTTTTTCAAGCGTATCTGTTGGATGGCCTGGCCAGGTAGAACGAAGACCATGCCAGCAGAAGGGAGATCAGAGCCTCACCCCTAAAGCGGCCTCCTGAGGCATGCTGCAAACCAGCTGTCACAGGAAGTTCTCGGGAAGAGCTGTGTGAATTACACAGGGCCACAGGCGTACACAGGTGTGTTACCTGAGCTGATGCACGAGTCAGAGGAGACGAAGTTCAGCTTTGACCAAGCTCTGATTAGATTAATATTTCATGCTAGCTAATTAAAAGTCAACAATGTGTTTGTTTGCTGAAATTGTGTCGTGACAGTGACTTACAGTTAAACAAACGTTAATTAAAGTTAAAGTTAATTTTTGATTCATTGCTTTCAGGGAAACACATTGGGGTCAAGTATATCTACGACCAAACAGGAGATGTTCTTGAGGACCGCAGAGTGGCAAATGCAGCATTGGGGACAGAGGACGTAGCTGTGGCAGAAGATGAGGGCTTTGAAGAGTCTGAGGATTTTGTGGATCTGACAGTTCCCATTTTGGAAACCATGCTCCAGACTCCTCAACCTGCCTGTTCATATGACTTCTTGACATCACCTGCATCTGAACCCTTCCTAGAGATAGCATCTGTAGAAGTTAAACATGCTCCTGTGGATGCAATGAAAGAAAGTGAGTGATGTTCATGCCCAAATATCACATAGATGGGAAAGTCAAGATGGATTCTTTTATTATGTAAAGTCACATGACATAAGTGACTTTAGAACCAGGTTACTGATTAATTTTGTTCTATGAACCTGTGTCTGAAAGTGTGTGTGTGTGTGTGTGTGTTTAATAAAAGGTTTTGATATTTATGTTTAGCTGCATCTCCATCAAGGCTGCCTGATTTCCACTCTGATGACACCTGCTCCAGGGACATCAAGGAGACAGGTAAGTTAGATATGATTTGGCTACTTTTGCCCATTTCTTTTCTTATAAATACGTGACAAACATCATTTAGGACTCCGTTAGCCCCAACAACACATAAGGTTTCAGAGCTGTGCAGAATTTGACTGAAGCACTCTTCAGTCTGAGAGAGCACAGCCTGGCTCTCACCCTTGAAGACTCCAATAACATTGTCGCTCTTTGGAAAAGATTGTCAGAACACAAAAAGGAGCGCACCGTTTTTTAACCACGCCACCAAACAACCCTGAACAAAGGCCATTTTAGAGCAACAAAAAAAATCGTTGCACCAGGCGTTGAGTCGACAAAACGGTATATTGCTCACAGCTGTTCAGCCACTGATGCATATTCTTCTACAGATCTTGCCTCAGTCCATTTCTCTTACTTTTGTCCTCCTAGGTTCTATTCTGGAGCACGCATTCCTGGACAGTAGCCGGATTGCAACCAGATTGTTGAAGCCCTTTTTGTCCAGCTCTGCATGGCTTACCCAAACCCAAAGACAGTGGAAGGTGTGACATTTTCAAGGTGGACCCTCATCATTCGTACTTACAAGCACATTAGAGAGTGCATCCTGAACAACATCACAATCATGGAGGAGACTACCATACAGTTGCCAGAAGTCAACAAAACAACCCTCACACAGTGGTGAGTTAAAACTGTGTCATAATGAATAATGATGGACTCAAATTAGCTGACCCAGAGACAAACAGATTAACTTAAAGAAGATTTATTCACAAGCGGGATACACAAAAAGTACTCCACAGGAGGATCAGTGGAGTAATGATAATTCACTTGTAGTGCTCACTCCACTGGAGGTACGGTCTGCTCAGGGGGGTGTGAGAGAGAAGGGTGAAGATTAGATGGATCCACAAATTAATTGTAATCTTTAAAGGGGTCAAAGGATGGTAGCCTACCACAACACCACATTCCACCATGCTGCAGCACCTGACCAGGAAACATCCACGTGTAAATGTCACTTCTGCAAGCCGACTCGGGGGTCCGCTATATATTCTGCGAACGCTGTGCGACTTTTCCGTTTGTAGCACTCAGTTTCAGCTCACACTGTGCGTCTGGTAGCAACACGTCGTACCTAAAAATGTGCTAAAAATAGAAGTTTTTACACAACACGTCAGACTTTTTATTGCGTTGTTATTGATGTCTGTTGCTCCTCGAGATCGTTGCAGGAGGACACAGTTATTTATGAGACTGGCGGAGGAAAACGAAAAAGTAAATAAATGTTTAGGGATGAGTACCGAATTCGGTACTTTTTAAGGTAACAACCAAATTCCACAGTACCGAACGAGCACCGATTCACTTCATTTGAAACAGTGCCTCGTTACGGTACCCGTCCTTCATAACGAGAACTTGCCTAGACAGCTGCGCATGCGCAAGAGCGTTATGTCATCGGTCGCTGCGAGCGAGTTGTAAACAGCAGCATGGTGAAACCAGCGACAACAATCTAAGTGAGACATCCTCATCTTAATCTGCTCCGGTAGGTAAATAAAATGTTTAACATAGCGTTAGCTTGATTTGTTAGCTTCCGTTTCACTAATGGTGCATTCGCTTTCTCCTCGGAACTCCAAAATTCCGACTAGAAGAACATGAGCGCGCTCTAAAGTTTGGCTTCACTTTACTAAATGCGACGGGTGATTGGGTGAAGATGAAACCAGCGACAACGATCTAAGTGTGAGGCATCATCGTTTAAATCTGCTCCAGCAGTTAAATAAACTGTTTAAGATAACGTTAGCTTGATATGTTAGCTTCCATTGCCACCATTGTTATCTTAGAACATGGCCTAGCAAAGCCCAGCACCAGTTCCTGGAGGTCACCATGTTTACTGGAAAATAAACCTGATGGCTCATATAGGTTTGTTACTGACTACCGCAAGTTAAATGCAAAAACCGTCCCAGATTTGTTTCCTTTGCCTCGTGTAGAGGATTGTATGGATAGTGTGGGTTCAGCTACATTTGTTACTAAACTAGATCTTCTAAAAGGCTATTGGCAGGTGCCGCTAACTCCTTTTGCATCTAAAGTGTCTGCTTTCGTCACTCCAGATAACCTGTTCCAGTACACCGTGTTGCCGTTCGGTTTGAGGAACGCCCCCGCTACTTTTCAGCGTTTTCAGCAAGAACTACTTCTTCTTTCGCCAACCATGGTGTGTGATATGGCACAATATAAATACCTTAACCCTCCACTGGGGGGCGCACACTGGGCTCCCTGTTTATTCAATTCAATAATTTATTTCACTCAAAAGTTTAAATATACAAACTTCAAATTAGAATATAAGCATTCGAGTGAAATAGGGGGAGGAAGAAGAAAAAATCTTATATGACCTACCCCCTTTAACAAGATAAATAACAAAAAGTACAAAATAGCCTTATACACAAAAATTAAACCGCTCTCTTACTTCCACAAATAATATCACTACTAAAACATTAATCCTCCATCCTAAACCCACCAAATCATACGATTTTTGCCTTTTATCTTTATACATTTTTTTGAATTGACCAGTACTTGTACATTTTTTTAATTCATCATCCAGGTTATTCCATAATTTCACACCATATGTTAACATACACATTTGCTTTAATGTAGTACGAACAAATAACCTTTTAAACTCTGGTTTCTTTCTATTCATTTTTTGGGATCAAAACAAAGGACCTTTGTAGATTAGTTGGCAGTAAATTATTTCTAGCCTTAAACATAATTAGTAGTGATGGGTAGATGAAGCCTCATGAAGCGTTTCAGCACATTCCCCAAATAGTATTGAAACTGTGTCGACACAGTGCTGCTGTTTTGCTCTATAATGACACCTACTGGACTTTAAATATCATTGCAGGCAACATACTGGAGACACAACAGACGCTGATTCAATGACCTAATCATACTTGTATACACTGTAAGCTATTGTAGGCCTACTTCATAAGTTATTATTTTAAACTTCTAAATTTAAAATCTATACACCTCAAAATATTCTGTGAATGATACCAAGTGACAATTAAAGTGACAGTGCTGTGAATGTGATATTACCCATTTCAGTGTCATTGACTCAAGTTTTTTTTATTTTTATAAATTTTTATTAAGAAAAATAAGTTTATCCAATGTGTTGGCATTTAGTCTATTACGTTTTTTGGACACTATTTCACCAGCTTTCGAAAACACACGTTCACAGGGCACAGAAGAAGCTGGGGTACACAAAAACCGTAAAGCCAGGTGGAAAAGGTGTGGGTAGGATGTCTTCCGGTTTCCCCAGTATGTTAATGGATCTTCTTGTCTTGAAATGTTTCCCTCTGCTAAGTAGCGCTGGACCTCAATGATCGAGTCAGCTGTTGCATTGGTGGTTTGTCTGCCAACCTCTTCATCAAGCTGCTGCCACAGATTATCTGAAATAATAAAAAATACATAGAAGTTTTAGTTTTTGTTAGCAACAAAACAAATGTGAAAATAAACTGATAATACTGAACAACTTGCCTGAAGTGGGTAACTGCTCTAATGAAGGTCCAGGCTGTGGCTCAGATGTTGTGTGACCAATTACTGCAGCACACTCCATTTTCAGGCGATTGACAGCCTCACTACACTTGGAGGAACTACGAAATCCAAGTGTTTTAAATCTGGGGTCTAAAAGTGTTGATAGGGTCAACACACTTAATGACTCCAGATTGGAAGCAGTGTCTGTGACGCGACGTCTAAGTTGGTCATGGAGACGTGTGGCTGCTTGTGTGTGTAGATGTAAAGAGTTCCGCTCAAGTGCACAATTTAGCATTTTCATCATCGGGATGACCTTTGATCCTGAAACTCTCCTCTCCTCAGACAACTCCACTGTGGCCTGATGGAAAGGGGCCAGCACAAGAAGTGCTTCCCTTAAGATGTTGAGCTCATCAGCTGTGAGTGGAGTTCAATCTGTTTGGAGAGGCAAGAGATACCCACACTGGTTCTTTCTCATCATGTAGCCATGACAGCATCTGATATGTGCTGTTCCAACGTGTTGGTACCTCAGTGACAAGTTTCAAGGTGGGCCGTCCCATCTGTTGCTGCACTTGAGCTAGCTTCTCTTTTGCTGTGGTGCTGGATCTGAAGAATGATACAATCTGCCTAGAGTTGTGTCTTATGGATGAAAGTTCAGGGATCTGATCACAGGATTTTTTGACTATTAAATTTAGTTTGTGTGCAATGCAGATTGAATGTCGAATTTGAAGAGTTCGTGTTGCTGCTATCATGTTTGGTGCTGCGTCGGTCACAAGACACCTTACCTTATTTGTTATGGCCCAGTCATCCATCATGCCCCTTTTGACTTGGGCCAGATTGTCAGCAGTGTGACTTTGTGGAAAGTGTTTGACTCCCAACACAGATGTACACAACTGCATATTATCATTGATGTAGTGACAGGTAAGAGCTAAGCCTCCATGTTCAAGGAGGTCCACATGTCAGCTGTTATACTCACTGCCACAGCTTGCTGTACTTCCCTTTTTACTCGTTCGAGTTCCTCCGCATGCTTTTTGGCCATCATTTCCTTAACCGTCTGAAAATGAATCAAAATCAAATTAGTCTAGTACTCAACACATTAATTAGACCACCTGTCATTAAAGCAAGAAAAACATCCAGCTATGAAGTTCTCTGTGTTTTGCCCTGTTGAATAGAAGGTAGGAATTTAAAACTGAATCCAGTTTTATACCCAAATGTGAGCTGACACACCGGACAGAAATTATTCAAGCATGCATGATATTTGAATCACAAGTGTTTATTTTTGTTTGCTGTGTCATAAACCTTAAATCAGACGATGGTCTAATACATTTGTTAAGCACTGTATATATTACTTGAGTAACAGCAGCTATCTGAGACATTGTGTATACAAACCTTTCTGGTTGGCAAAGCGTAAGATGGATCAAGGGCCTGAATCAACCCCCGAACCCCTCACTCTCCACAATACTCAGGGGTTGGCAGTCCTTTATAATAAAATTCAGGACTGCTTGGTCCAGAGCAATCTTCCTAGATTCTAGATTTCAAAATAATAAAACATATATTAGTAAAACAACTGTGACAAAGCATGCCCAGTGTCTATATTGGTCTACCTGTGTTCGTTCTTTGCTTCCTCTTCGTTTTCATGCTTGACTCTGTAATGTCTCAGCATTGAGGAAGTGCTCTTATTTGTATAAGACAACTCGGCTGAGCAGATCCGACATTTAACCTAATTAAATTAAATAAATAATTTGCACTGAGAGTCAGTCACATTGCTGTTTTCAACTCTGACAGATGCGCAGAAACAAGGAAAGACAAACACGTACCTTATTTGCTGTTAAAAGATCAAAATGATCCCATACAGCAGAAACTTTTCTTTTCCTCTCTGGCTCCATTTTCTTGATGTAAAGAGGGATGTCTTGTTTTATCTTTGAAATGGTAATTTTTTCGCGGCGACTCATCCCGTTGACAGATGCAGAGTCGATACCTTATAAACACAGTTTGGCGCCTCGGCAATGAGCGACACAGCAGCAGTGTTGGTCACGTGACTTTTTCTTAAAGCAACACACGCATCGACACTGATCGACACAGGTTTCGCTCCATGAGCTTGACACATGCGCCGGTGTGTCGGTGTTGCTGGACCCATCACTAATAATTAGTAAAATTTTCAAGTTAACTAAGTCTTTAATTGATGCTTTTCCTGTTTGCTCAGCAGGAGGAATCACGCCCCTCCCAGAGACACCCTCTGTCGTGGCTGGATGATGATGCAGAGATAATGGCTGCTTGTAAATCTGTGGAAGGTATGGGGCAGAACAAATCTAATTTGCACCTTCCAAGCTTAAACAACACACACTACAAAGCTTTTGTGGTCTTTTTAGACTCCCTCATCTCAAAGCAACCAACAATAGGAGCTGCAGCGACCAGGACGTTGCCAAAGGCTCCTGCTCTACAGCGGCTGATGGTTCTCCTGCTCCTGCTGATCCCTCTGCTTCTGCATCCCCTGCCAGTCCGATAGCTGCTTCTTCTGGCTCCAATACTCCTCCTGGCCCCTCTGCTGGCTTTTCTGCTGCTGTCCTGGACAAGGTTTTAAGGAACAGGACGGACCTTGGGATGCCAGTCTCTCGGCCTGCTGCTACTCAGCCACAGCTTCAGCCCCACACACACACACACACACACACACACACACACACACACACACACACACACACACACACATACAACGTCATGTGAACAGCAAAATGATCTTCTGTAAAAGAGTTAGAAATTGATTGCTGCGCCTTTGTCACACATGTTGCATGTACCTCCACACCTGTGATAAGGGATACTCTGACTATGCCCTAGTGGTGAGACGTGTAATATAATGGTGGCCTCAGAGGGGATGCTGAATCAGGGTGAGGTGCAGACGAGGTGACCGTTGGCGGTTTCTGGTGTCGAGGCGGTCGACATTTCTGTTCCACAGACATGCCCTGGGCTACCAGCCAGGAAGGAGCGGCGCGGAGCTGGGTTTGGAGAGCGTCGGGGATGGAGTGGAGGGGGTGCGGACGGAGGGCGAGCAGCTTCGCTGCGAGGGCCGAACGACGCTGCTTGCAGCTTTAATTATTTTTTGTTATTCCGTGCCCCCTTTGAACAGCTTTTTGGGGACCTTAACATACCCCAAAACTCACAATATTTTGCACACTTGTCAGGCCTGGTGAAAAATTTGATATTTTAAAGGTCCCAAAAAAATCGCAAAGAAAATGGCTGAACAGCGCCCCCTACAAAGTGAAAAAAACCCCTCTCCATAAAGCTTAGTTTATCGTACAGTTATGAAATTTGGTACACTTGTAGTACTCAACAGTCCGCACAGAAAAGTCTCTTGCAACCATGGTCAATATCAAACAGGAAGTCGGCCATTTTGGGTTGAAATGGCGATTTTTTGCCGTTTTTGCCGTTTTTAGGGTCCGTTTCTGATTGGATTGCTCGATCATTTTTCGCACGATCGTCTCAAAAATTGTGTAAAATTGCTCAGAAGGGATGGGCGAACAAAATGAGATAAGGATTCTGAGTTTTCGTATATGTTGAAGGGGCGGAGCCAGGCCTCGAAGTTTGACTACTCGCCAAAAATATTTAAATTGCTATAACTTCATAACTGAATGGAATAGAGTTACCAAACTTTCTGTGGTCATTCGTCATCCACCCACAAAGTAAATTGAATGGTCGGATGATGACATCACACAAGCCCCGCCCCCTCAGGACCAAAAAGATCAAGTTTTACTGTGAAAGGTCCCAAATTGCCCCATTTCACTTAATCACCACAAATTTGTAGCTGGTAACTCAAGACAAGTGGGGGTTGCTTGGCGTCACTTTATGGGAGTTTTCGGCAGAGGGCGGGGCTGTGGCGGCGCGGCGAATTCAGGCGTACCGCCTTGGCCTTACGTTTGCCTCTCATTTCGTCATTTCCAAAGATATCGTCACGAAACTTCTTGTGAGTGATCCTAGTCCGGCCCCCCAAAAGATCTGATGTGAACATCTGGTGGGCGTGGCCTATTTTCTGAAATAGCGCCCCCTAGGACCATTAAAACTGTCAGCCCCAAGCCATGCTTTGACTGAGGATTACGAAATTTGGTACACTAATGTGGTGTCTCAGGACCTACAAAAAAGTCTCTTGAAGCCAAGTGCAAAGTCGCACAGGAAGTCGGCCATTTTGGTCCAAGTGCGCGATTTAGTGGTTTTCACACACGTTGTTTGGAGAGTGATACTCCGTCGCCCTTTTCACCAATCACTTTCAAACTTCTGCTATATAGTCTTAAGACATAGAGGAAAAAATTCAACCGTCGGATTTTAAATAAGTATAAAGGTGTGGGCGTGGCTAAGCCTCAAACTTTGACCTTTCGCCACGCCACTCTTTTTTTCACAGCTCCTTATTGGACTCCTTTTACCCAATCACCAGGAATCTCTGGTAAATAGCAGCAGGCAAGTTGAGGTCACTTGGTCTCCAGTACTGGAAGGTTTTGCAAAAAGGCGGGGCTTTGGGAGCATGGCGAAATTCGCCATCACGCCATGGAAATACGTTTGCCTCTCATTTCTTCATTTATCGTGATATCACCTCGACCATTGTTGTGAGTGATCCTAGTCTGACCCCCAATAGAAAAGGTCAGCTTAAGTTTGTGGGCGTGGCCTATTTTCTGTATTAGCGCCCCCTAGGACCATTAAAACTGTCAGCCCCAAGCCATGCTTTGACTGAGGATTACGAAATTTGGTACACTAATGTGGTGTCTCAGGACCTACAAAAAAGTCTCTTGGAGCCAAGTGCAAAGTCGCACAGGAAGTCGGCCATTTTGGTCCAAGTGCGCGATTTAGTGGTTTTCACACACGTTGTTTGGAGAGTGATGCTCCGTCGCCCTTTTCACCAATCGCCTTCGAGCTTCTGCTATATACTCTTAAGACATAGAGGAAAAAATTCAACCGTCGGATTTTAAATAAGTATAAAGGTGTGGGCGTGGCTAAGCCTCAAACTTTGACCTTTCGCCACGCCACTCTTTTTTTCACAGCTCCCTATTGGACTCCTTTTACCCAATCACCTGGAATCTCTGGTAAATAGCAGCTGACAAGTTGAGGTCACTTGGTCTACAGTACTGGCAGGTTTTGAAAAAAGGCGGGGCTTTGGGAGCATGGCGAAATTCGCCATCACGCCATGGCAATACGTTTGCCTCTCATTTCTTCAATTATCGTGACATCGCCACAAAATGTCTGGTGAGTGATCCTAGTCTGACCCCCAATAGAAATGGGCATCTGAGATTTGTGGGCGTGGCCTATATTCTGAAATAGCGCCCCCTAGGACCATTAAAACTGTCAGCCCCAAGACAAGGTTTGACTGAGGATTACGAAAATTGGTACACTCATGTAGGGTCTCTGGCCCTACAAAAAAGTCTCTTGGAGCCAAGCGCAATTTTGCACAGGAGGTCGGCCATTTTGGTCCAAGTACTCGATTTAGTGGTTTTCGCACACGTTGTTTGGACATTGATGGCCCGTTGCCCTTTACACCGATCACCTTCAAACTTATGCTATGTACTTTTAAGTCAAAGGGGAAAAAATTCAACCGTCGGATTTTAAATAAGTATAAAGGTGTGGGCGTGGCTAAGCCTCAAACTTTGACCTTTCGCCATGACATTACTTGACTTAATAACTCCCATGTGCATGATCAGATCTAATTCAAACTTTGTCTGTGTGATCACTGACCACATCTCAAGACAACGACAATGTGGACAGCTGACATCACCTAAGCCCCGCCCCCTGACAACAGGAAGTCTATTGTTTTATGGTGAAATGCCCATATTTGTCCCCTCTAATTTAATGAAAATGACACTCAGGTCATACAGTGTCTTCATGATGTTTTAAAGACCATTCAGATCTGATAGCTTTCCAGAAAGGGAGGGGCTTTGATGCCATGGTGAATGCTGGCGTGACGCCATGACCTTACATTTGACTGTAACTTCCACAAACGGCCTCCGATTTGCCCGAAACTGAATATGGCAATGAACAATCATGCCCTTTAGCCAATGAGGCACAAACGGTTGGTGAATGTTATATAATGTCACCAAAGCTGACCTCAATGGGACTTTTCTGTAGTTGGTCACAGCGCCACCTAGATAACGTTATCCTTCGATAACTTTAAAAAACATGGTCAGAATAGCATTAAAGTTGGTCACTGTCATCACACCACCAGTGTGGTAAAGATAGAGGATTCCCTAGTGGTGAGACATAAAATATAATGGTGGGCTCAAAGGGGATGCTGAGTCAGGGTGAGTTGCGGACAAGGTGGCCGTTAGCAGTTTCTGGTGTTGGGGTGGTCGACGTTTGTGTTCTGCGGACGTGCCCTGGTGCCCCGGGCTGCCGGCCAGGCCGGAGCGGCGCGGAGCTGCGAGGGCCGAACGACGCTGCTTGCAGCTTTAATTTATTTTTGTTTTCTTCTTTTAGACTTTTAACATCTAAAGTTGCCATGTTTTGCACCTCAGGCTCACCGCTGATGCTCTGATGCATTTTGATCTCCAACTTGGGCTGTCTCAAAATGTAATGAACAATTAGTCTTTAGTCTTTAGGGGATGTTGGAATAGAATGAAAAATTCCCTTTACCATTCCTGTGTAAGAACATTTTAATGCAACAGCAGATTCACAGTATCAAATAAGATGCACAGGCTGCGCAGTGGCATAGCTAGAGCTGTTGCCTTGCAGCAAAAAGGTCCTGGGTTCGCTTCCCGGCCTGGGATCTTTCTGCATGGAGTTTGCATGTTCTCCCTGTGCATGTGTGGGTTCTCTCCGGGTACTCCGGCTTCCTCCCACAGTCCAAAAACATGACTGTTAGGTTAATTGGTATGTCTAAATTGCCCTTAGGTGTGAGTGTGTGTGTGTGTGTGTGTGTGTGTGTGTGTGTGTGTGTGTGTGTGTGTGTGTGTGTGTGTGTGTGTGTGTGTGTGTGTGTGTGTGTGTGTGTGTGTGTGTGTGTGTGTGTGTGTGTGTGATTGTTTGTCCTGTGTGTCTCTGTGTCGCCCGGCGATGGACTGGCTCGCTGTCCAGGGTGTACCTCGCCTGATTGCCCATTGACCGCTGGAGATAGGTGAACCCCCCCCCCCCCCCCGGGCAACCCACCCGCAAACCTACGTGGACAAAGCGGGTTCAGAAAATGAATGGATGACATAAGATGCACAAGAATAAAGCATTAAAGATTGTGAACAGAACAACATTGTTCTGTTTACTTGAACTGTCACAATTAACCTGCAGACACCTGTAAAGGTAAGTGATCCTGGCACCTGCACCTGCCACCACGGAGCACCACGCTCTGACAGATTTCTAGTGTTAAATCCATCCTGTTTGACTCTATTATCATTTAAGTTTCACCCACTTGCAGAATAAACGACTGTCATGTTAATTGCAGGCTGTTTTTGTTCAGTTTCCTCACCACTTCTGCTCTGAATTATTGATAAGCTGGTTTTGTAGCTCACCGCGTATAGAATGCTTTTAACGGTGGGAGTGTGTGTTCTGAGGTCTTTGCATGTAAACCCTGAACTTTATTATTTATAAACACATGTAGCCGTTATGGAAATGTGGATCTGTGCGAGCATTAGTGTTCTTCTGCAGAAACACGCGTCAGATGTATCACTGCAAGGCCCTAATTCTCTGCTCATTTTCTTCTCATAAAGGAGGAACACATTGATCACACACACACACACACACACACACACACACACACACACACACACACACACACACACACACACACACCACATTTTAAGTCCACAGACCATTCAGTATAAACACACCACATGTGCACTCAATGAAACACCGTGTCACACATTGCACATAGACAAACACTCTGTGCCACTGGGCAGGGACTAGCCTGAAAGATTGAAAGCAATTAAAACTATCATCTGCAGTGGCTCTGGGCAGGCCCGTGGCTGCGAGGGGGGAGCTGCCACTGTACATCAGCCTCTTACTCTCAGCAACGCACAGAGACATGAGAGGAAGGAGGTGCAGCCCTCTCCAAACACACACTCTCACATGCATACACACACAGCAGGTGCACATGTTTGCTCACACTCAGCTGAGCCAATCTG